AGATGAAGGATATATTGCCAACAGTGCTTCAAACATGCAGATTTCCTGTGACTGCACTATAGTTTTTATGTGCTGCATATTATATTCCTTTTATGTAACAGCCATTTGAACAAAAGATTAAACAGACTTGAGCAAATGATCAGTATTTTCCACTTCTTGTTTCTCTCTCTCTGTAAGAATGAGTATTCTGCTGACATTTGCTTTTAAAATATAAAGCTTCTAGTAAGTGCTTCATTTTTTCTGCAACTTTCTGCATCATGTGGTAATTTACAAGAAACAATGTAGATATTAAGCCTTTATACTTTTACAATCACCTGCCTTGCTTTTTTCAGATTTCCTTTTGTTGTACTGTGTGATTCAAATAGATCAGATTTTATTCTGAATTCTTTGAAAATCAACCCCAATGAGTCAAGACGTGAGACAATTAAAATTGTTAGATAAAAACTAGTAGCATCAGGTTGCATTTCATTGATATGTAACAGCAGTATCTTTGTTTTCTGTTTCATAGTTTTACCTTCATATTATCAATGGTTTAGCATAGTCCGCATTACAATGGTAACTTCAGATTTCATGGCTATTTCACGAATATTTGTATCAGGGGTACCAGTATTATTAGGTAAGCATGCTAATTTAAACAGGAGCACTTTCTTACCTCAAATCTAGATGCTTGAACTTGGTTGGAGGATGCCATGTTGAGTTCATTTCATGAGTAGCTATCATGAACACGAAGTAGCATGTTCTAAAAACAAGCACTGCAAAACACTGGAGACAGTTGAATTTTGAAGCTGTCCAGGTTGGTAAGCTATTTCACTGTAAAATGGTTTATTCAAATATCACTTGTCTCCTACTGAAAATAGCAGTTGAACTTTTCATATCCTACTTTCTGTATTTTACATATGAACTTTTTTTTTTTAATTTATTTCTAGAGTATTTATAGTGGCCTTCCCTTCAGAGGTGAAGTCAGGACTTGCATGCTTTTTTAAACTCAGTTAATTTTATATATATATATAATATATAAATATATATATATATTTGTTATAGTTAAGTCACTTTAACAGTTAGTGCTGAATAAGGACTTAACATTTGATTTTGCACAGAAATTTTTACAATTTATAAACATGTCTCTATATAAAGTTCTGAAATCATTCAACATGTGTTATAACTTGTTTTTTCTTCCCTAAGCTTTTGAAGGTTTCAAAGGCATTCAGAACAGGTACTGATTGGATCTAGAACTAGATCTGACTTTTCCTGAAGTGACATAAATGCTGATCTTGCAAGACACCAAAATATGTATTCAACTTCATAAATTCTCTTAATCTCAACAGAAACATATTCATGTTTTAGTTTTCCTTAATCTACAGCTTTCCTCTCTCATTTCAATCCTTCACTCTGTAAAAGAGTTGATACTATTGGTAGCACAAAAATGTTGAAGGATCTAAATAATATACGAGGATACAAAACATTATGTAAATAATTAATACCCTTCAGATTCTTATTCGCAATGCTATAATTAGTTCTGCAGAGGCTGAAAGTCTTCTAATGTAAGTATAAAAATATTTGTGTATTTTGACTATGTGCTTTAATTGCATAAAAATAAATTCTTACCCTTCTTTTAAAATAAATGAAAAAGGGAAAAGCATTTTAATCATTCAAAACTGTAGCTGAAAGATAGAAAGTGCAACGTGTTCTTCAACAATATTACTATTGCAAAATCAAAATACCAAATGAAGAAAGCTGGTTACTTCCAAGTCTAGTATCAGCAACAGAGCAAATCCATCATCTATTCTAACCATTTAATAATCAGAACTAGCAAATACAACACAAATATTTCCCAAGGAAAAGGAGTGACTCAGAGGCATTACTCTTCCTCATTTACTATTCTTAGCCAAACAACAAAGCTTTTCAGGACTTTTCTGCCATTTGCTTTTCTGCTGTTCTTCATGACTTTGAAATCTTTTGTTTGTACTTTTTGCCATTGTGCTTTCTGATGCTGAGCGTTCCTGACTACAAAGTAGGGATGACCTGCAATGGACATGAGATTTGTGCCTGTATAAAGCCCTGATGAATTCAGTGTGACTTCCTGGAAGTGCAGCAGTAGACATCTTCAGGCAGAGTAGTAGGGATGGCCCTGAGACCGAAGTGAAGGTCTTAATTTTTAATTACTTTTTCATAAAGGTACAATCAGTGAGTATGGAGATAATGGAATGAAGAGGATAAAAACGTTTGAACCTAACTTTAGAGACCTGCTCAACACACATTTCTGTACAGATGCATCTGTCTAAAAAACTAGCATTTCAACAAATTCATCCCTTTAAAATCATCAGTGGGTGTATCCTCCTCAAAACAATAAGATGTGGGTGAATTATTGAAAATATATCATGAGTCCTCTTTTAAAAACAAAGCAATCATCACATTTTTGATAGGATCAGACAAACTCATATTATGGTGGGCTGCTTGTATTCCAGTTGATCCATGTGGCAACAATACACAGTGGAGATGGCTTGCAGGGGGAAACGCTTTGAATTACATAGACCTGTATCAGGTAATGTAGTGTAATGTAGCGACAAGTGCTGCTACTGCTATACTCTGGGACATGGAAGCGCAACTGAGATCCAGTCACATCTCTTTTCTTATTGCTGGTTGGAAAAGGCAGGCAGGCAGGCACATTTTCCACTGCTGAAATTCATCGTTGTACTTGGCATGTTTTTTGTTAGCAGGGCTAGGGAGGTGATTGTCCCCCTGTACTCGGCTCTGGTGAGGCCGTACCTCGAGTACTGTGTTCAGTTTTGGGCCCCTCGCTACAAGAAGGACATCGAGGTGCTTGAGTGGGTCCAGAGAAGGGCGATGAAGCTGGTGAGGGGCCTGGAGAACAAGTCCTACGAGGAGCGGCTGAAGGAGCTGGGCTTGTTCAGCCTGGAGAAAAGGAGGCTCAGGGGTGACCTTATTGCTCTCTACAGATACCTCAAAGGAGGCCGTAGTGAGGTGGGGGTTGGCCTGTTCTCCCACGTGCCTGGTGACAGGACAATGGGGAATGGGCTTAAGTTGCGCCAGGGGAGTTTTAGGTTGGACCTTAGGAAAAACTTCTTTACCGAAAGGGTTGTTAGACATTGGAACAGGCTGCCCAGGGAAGTGGTTGAGTCACCATCCCTGGAAGTCTTTAAAAGACGTTTAGATGTAGAGCTTAGGGATATGGTTTAGTGGGGACTGTTAGTGTTAGGTCAGAGGTTGGACTCGATGATCTTGAGGTCTCTTCCAACCTAGAAATTCTGTGATTCTGTGATTAAAGTAGTGATCTGTCTGGAATTGTCCCTGCTCCAGGCAGCCAACATTGTGGCATACTTAGGGTGTGGATAAAAACTATGTTCTGTAAGCTAACATAAACCAGCACAGGTTCTGCTGTGAATGAGATTATGTACCATAACTTGACAATCAAACTTTTTTATTTGCAATGGATCCGTGTCATAGAGTTAAATAGATATGTTTCCCTTTGCATTATTATTACTATTATTATTTTTATTATTGTTATTATTGTTGTTATTATTATTATTATTCCACAAAGGCTTCATCCCTTGTGTTTTGGTTAAACTTCATGCTAAAACTTTAAGCAGTATAAATCCAGTTCCTGATTCCCAGTGATTTAGGTGTGATTTCCTAATTCCCTTGGGATATTTTGAATTTCCTAATCAAAGTATATAGAGATTTGGCATTTCTGCCTCCTACATTAAAGTTCAGCAAAATACCTTGCCTCAAAAACAGGACAGAAAGGAAACTGCAAAGGGCATGTACTTATGTGCTTCCCAAATAGGAATGAATATAAATCTTGTTCTTCAGGAACTTTTGTGATTCATTTTAAAGTCTTTAGAAGACAGAAGGAAAATAACAATTTTGTGCAGTTGTGTTTTTTTTTTTTTAGGACCCGAATCTCTCATTGTACTGTTAATTCCTACTGTTTTCCTTGCAAAACAAATATTGTATCAGTCTCATGATTATGTTATAATTTGTTTAGCTAAAGTAACTGAAGGATTATTAAAATGTGTTGGTGTAAATTATGTGGACTGGTAGCACATTTATATTATCTGTCATTACTGCTCGGATAAGCCATACAATTAGATTTATGGATATCAAGTAGTTAAACAACCATTAGAAATAAAATGGTAGAGCTTTCAAAATATTTAAATACTTTTTTAACCATATTCCCCTTGCTGGTGTTCTGGTAGTGGAAAAAAAATGCAGATTAATTAAGGTTGGGTAATTTATAATAATGAACAAAAAGACGATTTTAAAGTAAAGTTGGTTATGCTCCCCCCAAAATCTTAAAACTGCATATTTACTCTAAAGGTTGGTGTTTGCTTGATTACTTGCTAAACTCTTAGGATTATTTCACAGTAACTAAACCAGAATAAAATACATTATTTCTAATATGAAACCGTGTCATGTAAAATTCTGCTTGTGTGTACTAAAACCCTCGTCTGGCCCACCTTGGGAACCCTAGGACTAGGGTGTAAAATACTTTCACCATGACTTTTCAAACAATAATGGTTGAAGAGTCCTTTCTTTACAGAACATACAGAAATAATGTTGGGATACTTTGTTCATTAGCCTGGTGGGAATTAGTTTTATTTTTCTTGTCCCTTTTTTCTTTTGAGGCCTATTTTCTTGTTACTGCAAATTGGTCCCAATTACATATGGAGTGTCTGGTTGCTGTTCTGGTTCAATTGCATATGACAATATCAAATTTCAGTGCACCTATAGCCAAGATCGTGTTAACTGTTATCATCCAGTCTTTAAATAACTTTACGTTACTTTATTTTCCCACTTCATATGACTACTAAAGATTCCTAAAGTAATTTTGATAATAAAATTTATTTGATAATAAAAACCTAGGACTGCTGTCTTTTTACTCTAATTTCCCGTACCTATATCCCCGTGTATTTAATGAGATGTCATTTGTCAAATACAAGCAATCAGATATCAGCAGCTTCTGTATCTTGGCTTTTCAGGTGGGGAAGTGGGAGAACAACTCACTGAGCCTGAAGTACTCTGTCTGGCCAAGGTACAGCTCTTTTGCAGACAGTGAACCGGATGATAACCATTTGAGTATTGTCACCTTGGAGGAGGCTCCCTTTGTCATTGTTGAGGATGTGGATCCTTTGATGGAAAGTTGCCAAAAAAACACCGTGCCATGTCGTAAATTTGTCAAAATTAAGTAAGTAAATACACAGTGTTCCTTTTTTATTTGTTTGCTTTTGAGTGCAAAATGTTCATCTATTTTCTCATTAATGCTTTCCCTTATTTCTTTTGTTGTATATACATTTTTTCTCATACTTCGCTGTTCTTGATTCCTACCTTTGCTTTTTGTTCTGTATTTCTCTTCCTCTTTCTTTTTCTCTTTCCTGCACAGCATGCTTTTCTTTACACATCTTCCCTTTCAATACATCAGAAGGTTCTGGTTATATACATATAAGTAACATTGAGTCAATGACAAGATAGTAAGTATGTAGTAAATTCAAAATCAACTAGAAATGGCCCTTCTCAATCATATGCAAGAAGATAGCATATTCTAAAATTAGATTGTTTTAATGAGTCCTCTTTGAATGGAAACTGTTATGTTGAAATGCGCCTATTTAAATTAGTTTAATTAGTTAACAGTTTAAGAATGCCTTCTATTGACAATAATACATTTATGCTTAAATTTGGTACAAGATAAACTATTCCAGCATATAATACTATGACATACCAGCTAGAGAAAAGTCCATTGCTTTGATTGCTCTGTAATTTTGGAGTAATCATTAGAAAACAGTGGAAAATTTGTCATTGTGGATTCATTAATGCTTCTTCACCCATTAAGTGCTTCAGTCTACATGTTTCCAAAATGAGTATAACATTTTTAATTGAGCAGGTGTTAGGAGATGTAATTGATGTTTCTGAAGTTTTCCAGAAGTTGCTGAATAGTTTCTGAAATCCAGGACATTTTTATTGACATATCTGAACTTCTTAGTCAGGTTCTAAACAACATTTTATTTGTGATTTGAATTTCTTCAAAGTCTGTAAAATATTGCCTATTAAAAAAAAAAATAAATAAAAATCTTGTCTAAGACCTACATGGCTGATCACAGTTTGGGACTCTGGTTTCTCTGTTGTCAGGACTTTTCTGACCTTCCAGAGTGGTCTTTGCACTCAAAGATAGCCTGAACGTCACCTTCTCAAACTGCAGGAAAAGATATAGCACTCACTGCTTCCAGAGCTGTGAACTACCATGCCTTTACACAACTTATATGTTGGGCAGTTCAGTAATTATTAAATTACGTGTGGTACATAATATCTTAAGAGCAGAAGTAATAAATGTTTAATCTAAATCAAAGAAACATCAGTAAGTGGAGACTGTATGAATTGATGGAGAAGTCCAGTAGGAGAGAAACTGAAGCAGAAAATGTTGTACAAGGTCTACCACCATCTTCTATTTATTTTGTCAAGCCACTGTAATATGATTAGTAAGAGCTATAAGCACCATATAAAGCATCCCATGATTTTATTTCTCCATCATTCCAGAAAAAAAATTGGTCACTTGGAAGTTTGAAAAATTGTTCTTTTACAATATGCTGACTCTTGCTGTTGTGGTGGTTCTGTTTTTCCCAGGAGAAATGTTTGTCTTGCTTCTCTTTTAACAGCAACTCAACTAATGAGGGAACTAATGTAAAGAAGTGCTGCAAAGGATTCTGCATTGATATCTTGAAGAAATTGTCTAAAACTGTCAAGTTCACGTATGACCTGTATTTGGTGACTAATGGGAAACATGGCAAAAAAGTCAATAATGTATGGAATGGAATGATTGGTGAAGTAAGTTCTGTTAGGTAAAAGAGCTCTTAAGTAAGAACCTAGCAATGTTTGTTTTAAATTCATTTGGAGAAATGAGGTGTTCTCTACTGAGTAATATTGGTGGTGTCTTCTCTTTGTGGATCAGGTGGTATATCATCGTGCAGTTATGGCTGTGGGGTCTCTCACTATTAATGAAGAGCGCTCTGAAGTGGTTGACTTTTCAGTGCCATTTGTTGAGACTGGGATTAGTGTCATGGTGTCACGGAGCAATGGCACAGTTTCACCATCTGCTTTTCTAGGTATGGTTCTCCAACCCCTCAAGATCATTTAATTGCAATTCTGTAGAGTGGGATAGCTTTCATTGTTAGTTAAGCTAAATAGTGTGTTGACATGTTTCTTAGATTTTTGAATTACATGTTAGGAAGTTTGTATGGTGTCAGCAAACTGATTAATGTGGTTTTTAACACATGAAGAGAGTGCTGTTGGTTTCAGATGCAGTAACTGGAAACCAAATAATAATGATTTGAATACAAAAAAGAATTCCCCAGCATCTTCATTTAGGAAAATTACTTCCTCAAGATCTGCTTACACATTAACCCGTGCTTTTTTAGCCCATAATAAGTTGTCTCATATTTTTCTAGCACTCACATTCACAAAATCATTTAACCCCCCCTTCGTAGAATAGCGTAGAAAAGAAGACTTTGCCGTGATTAGAATAGATCTGACACTAAATGGGCAACAGATACATCTGGCTTCCAAAGACCATATTACTGCACTGCAAAGCTTCTGAGTGTTTTCTTCAATTTTCTGTGTTGTGATGATGGAGTTGAGCAATGGGGATTCAGCATGGAAATGAAAGGCTCGATAGAAAAGAGGTGGGATACAAAGAAGTAAAGATCTGTCTTCTCTCCTTCCCTTGTTTGCTACTTGTTTCTATTGTTCGTTTCTCCTTTCATTATCTGCCTCTCCACTGTAGTGCCTATGTTTGACTTTTATATTTAGTGGTTTGCCTGAATTTTTCAAAGGTATTTTGCAAATGAAAAATAGTGCTAGTGGAGATAAAATAATATAATTGAAACTGAAGGAAAATCAGTATTTTACAGGTATCTTACAGAACAGTTTCACATCTTCAATATGGTGAGCAATTATGACATTTTAATCATTTTATTATGTTACATATTTATTATTTATATATATATTTATATCAGTATAGTTTCTTTTTAGATTAAGTGTAAATTCTTCACTCAATTCAAATCACCTTTAGCCAGTGAGGAACTGATTGTTACTAGAGTATCAGATACAAGTGGGCAAATAATTGTTTTTTCTCATAGCCATTGTCATCATTTATACACAGAGCTTATTTCTCATACCTGTTCCATAAATGCACATTGCAGAGATGAAGCAATAGCTCGTAAGTGTAACATAGTGAATAATCAAATAATTTACCTAACTTGTTAATACCTAAACAGATTTTGTTGGTGGTTAATTTTGTTGTTTACTGAATAGAAGACTGTTTAATGAAATTATGAGAGGCTGCATTTTTAAATGAAAATACTCAGATAATGATTTTTTATTTCTATAAGTAATTGACTTGTACAGTTAATTTATTTTTTAAATTGTACTTTCTATGTGCTGAAGTTATCATTTGAATTATACGGTGTTTTCCTAAATATGTTCCAATTTTTGGCAATTTTTTAATGGACTTTGCTTACTTCTTACCTGCCTCCAGCTATCATCAAAACAGACTGCTTTTGTGTTTTTTTCACAACATCATAGTTATATTTCTACAAATAATTTAATGCTTTTGGTTTAGTTGGATACGTACAGAATTTAAAAAGTAAAAATGATGCCTTCTTGTCAAGCTCTATAGAATAGATTTTTTTTTTTTGTAGAAATCTGATCTACTGCACTGATAAATTAAGTCTGTGATCTCAGATGTACTTTCTGTTTATTTAGACATAGATGAAACTGTCACATCACTGGAACTGCTTGTGTATTTCGATGTTGTGGGAGTAGTATTAAAGTGCTCTGCCATGCAAAATACTATCAGATAGATAACTGAATTTATTCATAGACAGATTTAGTTTTAATTTTAACTGAGTGTCAATTGAGTTGTCTTATGTAACTTTTATGTTTTTTCTTTTTTTTTTATCTGTGAAAAACAATACTATTAAATAGCAATGAAGTTTATGAAATACTTGTTTTCATGATTTACTGCCATCAGTGTATGCAAGTGCAAAATTTGTCTGAACTAGATTTTCCATTCAATGATTGTGTCTAATGGATTTAAATAACTGATGGGCTGACAGCCTCTTCCTCATTATCTGTTCCCAAAGGTGTCTCCTACCAAGAATTTTAGAATAAAAAATAAGAATTTTATCCATGTTAAAACTTTTTCATGTATTACTACTGTTCATGTATACTAGATCCACGATGTAAGTTTTTAAAAAAATCAGTGGGGGTTTTATTCAACTTTTCTATATATTTAAGAGGAAGAGAGTTCATAGGTGAGGCTACTTGTCTTTTTTTTTTCTTTTTTTTTTTTTTCTGGTGAAATGGCAAATCTTTTTCATTGCTCTATTTTCTCCATTGCCAATAATTTGCAATGTACACTAACAAGTCATATGCTAGTATTTTTCCGTCATATCATTGTTCTACTTAAAAATTTTATAAAACCTGCTGCCTCCTGGGGAAAAATTCCTTCTGTCCTTTGAGAATCAAATAACAGTGCTGAATGCACAATTTGATCTGTAATATGACAGAAACATCAACTTTATTATTCAATTGATTTTGTACTTGTTCAATTTTGCTACTTATTATAAATGGCTTTTTATTTTGCTGTTGCTTCTGTTGCTTCTACTCCTCATTACCAGACTGCTTAAATTATTAGGGACCATTCTGCATTAACTGTTGTTTATAGCTTGCTTTTTCACTTTGGCTTATTTTGCCCTTTGCCTAATTTAAATTTTGACAAATTACCATTGCTGCTTTTACCCTGATGCTTTTAATAAGAGTTTTATGAGGGTTGCTGACTGTCTTCTATGAGAATGCTGTCAATATTGTATGATAGTTTTATGTGAATTCCAATTAATTCCAATTAATATATGATTACATAGAATATTTATCATTAAGTGGCATCTACTTGTCTGTTTCTGAATTATTTATTTTTGTCTTTTAAGCATTCTGTTATTTTGCTAACTTATTATTCTCTTCCAAAAAATGTCTTTAGTAATTGAAAGAATTTCATAAACTGTCTTTAAAAGATAACAAAAAAAAAACAACAACAAAAAAAACCTGTTCCTTAATCATCTCTTAAAATCAAAAAGAGAACTGTTTGGTTTGAAAATTCCATGCTTTGTCTTGTCAGTTCACATTCAAACTCACAAGTGGTGCTATCTGGAATTTGGTCTTTCATGGTTCCAAATTTATGAAGAAACTGTAGCAAACGAAACCAATCTCATAAGATTTTCACATATAGGCCCAAATTATGATACTTTATTCTAGTTCTTGGTGAATACTTCATGCTAACTTGGGCAAGGTTCAGACTGGGCTATTGGGCTCAGCTCACTTTAGCTCTTGCTCAGAGTCATTTCCTACAATGATAGAAGGATTTTCATTTTTGATGAAGAGATTAGGATGGAGGAATCTCTTGGACTTTCAAAAAAGCAAAGCATGGGAGCAAATTCATTTATTGTCACTTCCAGTGCTTCTTGGTTCTGTTCTAATTTAAAATAGTTATTAAGAATTTTTTCTCACATTTCAGAGCACATTCACGCTACCAGTATTTACCAGAATTAGAGTATAATATGCCCCCAGATAAGCTGACCTAATAAAGATATATTACTTTGCCATACCAAACTTTTGTTGCATTTATCCTTATACAGTTACCACAGGAACACCTGAAATGACAGAGAATTTGTAATCGGTCAAAGCTGAAATTTAAGAACTTTGTGTTATCACATGGTATTTCCAATCCTTTCAAAAAATTGGTGCTTGTTCTGGTATTTGAAACTACTTTTAGTTTTCTGTTCCAACCTACTTCTTTAAGTTATGTTTTTTCTACCTTTCAAACTGACATTCAGTTTTCCATAAAAACCTTTTGATTTCAGAAATTTGCTCCCAGATGAGAGTGAAACTTTCAAAAGAATGTTTTTGCTATGAGTGGAAACAATGTCTTCATTAGAGATAGATGAAAGTGAAAAGGGAAAAAATAAAATCTGAAACCAGATTTGCTTTGAATGCAAGCATTTGGCTTTTTTCCCTAATGCTTTCTGTTGGATAGAAAATCAGAGAGAGAGGTGTACTTCACTGAAACACCAAATGTTTTAAGCATATGCTTAATTGCTTTTGCTCTACAGAAACTGTCATAATGGTTGGAGTATTCTGTTGATAAAAGCATGCATCACAGGATTAATAGAAAAGGATTGTAAACTGAATAAGCCGCAAGTCAAACCAATTATTTGCCACTCGGTGTCAAGGTTAAGACTTTGTTAAAGAAGACAAGTACATAGACTTCATGTTTGAATTGCAACTCGCATTTATGATTTCACATGTATGGAGATTGTGGATACTAACAGCAGTTCTTTGTATATTGCTGCTTAGTTCTAGCAGTAATGCTAGCATTTTTGTTGGTAAAAGCTAATTTAAAGAAAGCCTCTGGGCTTGCCTAGCCTGAGACACTAGAATTCTTGTGATGTGACTGGTTTAATGAACTGTTTCTGTTTCTCTTGTCTGTTTTGCTGCAGAGCCTTTTAGTGCTTCCGTCTGGGTGATGATGTTTGTGATGCTTCTCATTGTGTCCGCCATGGCTGTCTTTATATTTGAGTATTTTAGCCCTGTAGGATATAACAGGAACTTAGCACAAGGGAAAGGTAAGCTTTGCAATTTACACAACCTTAGGGCTATAAAAACAAAGCAAAACAAACAAACAAACAAAATGTATTTACCATCCTTTACCCTGTATCTTTTAAAATATATGTAACATAGGAATAAAACAGTAAAAGTAGTTATGAAAGCATGCTTGCTCTTCATTTAAAATGTGATTTCTTGAGGCCTTATATACTCATGTCTATATTCTAATTCATTGCAATAAAGATGTAGAAGGATAAGAGATATTAGAGAGAGTTGTATTCAGGCAGCATTATGTTAGTATACTGTATCAGTTGTAGGGCGTCAGCTTTAAAAAAAAAAGCATTGAAATAAACTCTTCAGTCTCCTGACTTATGAATTCACAGACAGTTCAGAGATAATGATCTCCAATGGTGATGTTTGTTGGCTAATCTGGAAAAGCAGCTGTTACCTTTTATATAGTTTTATATAGTCCATATAAAAAGGTATGGTTCTCTTGTGGTGAACTCATCCTTTAAATGAGGCCAGTGGCAGAAGGGCATAATTTCTTACTGTGTAGCATTTGTGGCTGTAGAAACTTCTTTTTGAAAATATAGTGACACAACAAATTTAATACAGAACACGTCTTTCTCAGTGAAAGATACAGTTGTATACTATTAACACTCTGACCTGAGAATGATGATTTCATGTACCGTGGTGCCCTCATCCTTCCCTTTCTTCACTTTCAGTTCAGAGTGTGGACAGTTTTTAATTTCTGAACCATACCTTGTTTTATAACGATGTCTCTCAGGTTGGTGAACATAGTCCTAGAGACTATAACAAGCTAATGTTTTCTTCTAGTTGGTGGTTGGTTTGTTCCCTGAACAAGGAGGGTTTTGTAATGTTCAGATATTGTCAACATTTCAATAACTTGGTAAATTTGTAACCTATGTCCAAAATAAACACTGTATTAGGAAGAGGAAAGGAGAAGTATGTACAGACTGGGGATCTGCAGCCTGGGCTGTTCTTTTCTGTTCCACCTTATGTGATTATGTAGTGGCTACAAATTCATATTATGGCACTGCAACATCATAACTTAGCAGTAGAGGCTTGCCACAAATCCAGTTGCTATTCATTTGAAGCTGGGGAAGTTTAAAAATAATGTGACTCTTTACGTAGATTATTGTATTTTCTGTGTATTTTTAGTAGGATGAAACTCAATGGTGGTAAAATCTTCAGTAGTTTTCTTGGTATATACTTTCATTCGTATTACTGCTTAGAAAATACTTACTATTCATCAGCTCAATCTTAAATGGCCCTATAGGATAGCTTCATAAACCAAAAGCCAGCTCCATTATGATTATTTTACTGCAGTCTATCTTAGCAATGCAGTAAAAATAGAAAAAAGATAATCTAAGATGTGTTTGAGTCTATCAAGAAAATTTGCACTGTTACATGGAGCATTTCTACTGAAATGACAATATGCACTGAGTGTACCAACTTTGGATTTTATTCCTTTAATAATTATTTTTAATAATGTAAACTAAAGTTAACAAGTAAATCTGAGTTTTAGTGTGCATACCCATAGGCAGGAATAGAGGTAATATTGGAGGAGTCTGCATAACAGCTTTTTGTCTGAATTGTCCCTTAATTGAAAAATGAGTACTTTTGAAAAAGTTGGATGAGTCACGTTCAGGAGCAGCCTGTTTCTCCATTGAACACACAGGGAGTCTAGATGATGTTTGCACTGTACTAACCTAAAGTTGGGTAAGAGGAATCTTCCCTTTATTCTCAGAGAACTCAACAAATACGGTCTTTTTAGTGGATAGTATCTCTGCTAACCTGCTTCTGCTAGTCCATGGGCATGAAGTGAGGGCATTATGCTGACAACTTTGGGTGCTTTCGGATGAATTCAAAGCTGACTGAAAAAAATTACAGAACTGCACAGATTACCCGGGCCAGGTTTCTGCCTGTAATACCAGTGCATTTGAAGCCATGGAACTGACTCTGTACCTGTGAGGTAGCCTGAGTCTCGCTGTAAGTTATGTAACTGTACAGGTTGCTCCTTTTTGTTGATTTATTTTCTGAGTGCAGCGTTGCTTAAAAGTAGGTGAAATGTTCACCCATTTTGATACGCTTATCTGAGAGTACATAAAGTTCAAAAAATATAATGTTGAAGATTGGAGCTTATAAAAATACTTTGGGTGGGAAAAGTATTGGAAACAAATCATTAAGACTTATATCCACAGTTTTCCATTTTACATGTCAGCTGGTACAGAATACTGAAAGGGGACATAGCGTGGCACACACCTTACTGCAAGAGACATCAGTTTGGTCTCCTCCAAACCTATGTTTGCAGTCTCCATTTGAAAACTGCTGAGGTAAATACACGTAGAGAAGTGTTGAAATATTTTTTGCAACAAATATGGAAATAAATGTCATTACAGCAGAAAGTACCGACGCTAAATTCTATGATTACATTGGGAGGACAATGAATATGTATAAAAATATTTTTCATAATGTGTTGGTGAGTGCTTTGTTGTTATCATGTAGTTATGTATTTGTGGTATCTTACCACAAATATACTTGCAACTAAAACAAATGCTCTTTGCAATTCCAGATCCCCATGGACCATCCTTCACCATTGGCAAGGCAGTGTGGTTACTCTGGGGCTTGGTATTCAACAACTCTGTACCTGTGCAAAACCCCAAAGGGACGACCAGTAAAATCATGGTGTCAGTTTGGGCCTTCTTTGCTGTCATTTTCCTGGCTAGTTATACTGCCAACTTAGCTGCATTTATGATTCAAGAGGAATTTGTTGACCAAGTGACTGGACTGAGTGATAAGAAGGTAGCTCTTCTACCTTAAAAGACATCAGTGTCTGTTCTTCGTAATCTTTATACAAATTTGTACTCTGTACTAAAACCTCATTAACTATGACTGCATTAATTGAAAAGAACATTAATTTTGTGAAAAAATGGAAATAAGTTCTTGTTAGATTAAAAGTAATGCTTCATGAACATACAGAAGCTTGAAAAAACTGAAAAGTCAGCTTGAATGCATGGAATACATTTAAAAATATTTAAACATCTCTGTTTAAAATGTTAATAGTTTATTAATTGGCAGAATATTCATTAAACCAGAAACTATCTAGTAATCATCTGATTACTATCAATACTAATTACTAATACAAATTACTAATCAATGCTCCTGAAAAAAAAAAAAAGTCTTTTTGCTTTTCATGTAGTGTGGAGGGAAGTCATAGAGAGTTCAGATTTAGAGTGGTGCTAGCATAACTAGACAAATAGAAACAATAACAATCCATACGTGTTCCCTGTGGACACTCGAATATTTTCCTTGTATACCATATGAAGAATAAAGAGTAAAAATAAAGTTGAGATGTATATTACCTGGGATAAGGCACAGAATTTTGATTGTGGAAGTGGCTTTCCTCAATTCAAGAACTTTTTGTGAGAATTCTGTTTTGAACAGTAGACTCTGATAGTTCACTTAAAGCCTGCTAAAGTTTCACAGAAATAGATAATAAATATGCTTATTTTTGCATATTGTTCTAGCTTGACTGAATTTTCATCTGCTGAAAGTGTTCAAGGTCTTGGTACTTGTGAATTTTAATCAATTGTCCTATAAATCAGAAACCCAGCAATTATTTATTTCTTGTTTCATTTGTGACCACTTTGTTGAAGTGGTATTGCACAAAGTGGTTGAAGTCTGTTTGCAAAATTATTGTAGTGATGGATATACACAAAACACATAAAGGGCACACTGTTCTCAAGTTTGTGCCCAGTTGTTTAAAAATAAAACTAAATCTCGACATCGAGAGGTAATATTTCAATAGACTATAGTACAAGGGAGAACTTCACAGGGAATTTATTTCAAAGGACAGAAGACAAAGGAAATTGTTATTCAAAAGAGGGCAACAGCTCAGATAGACTTGTCTGTTTTCAGTGATCTGAAATATCAAAGTATGAATTTCAAGCATGGCTAGGGGAAAGAGATAAAAAGAAAAGAAAAATGGTAGTAGTTTTGTTTTCATTAGGTTGTGTTATAGCAAAACCTTTGAAAGAATGTGAATACTATAAGAAATACCTCTATTTTAAAATAACGCTTAATATGATACAGATAAAAGGTATTTTTCTAACGAGGATTAAAAAAAATGGATTTGAAAAATCTGTTCAACTATTTGTGATTAAGTACAGAATGTTTTCCTGGTAAGTCCTGATCAGGGCAGGCTTTGGCTTTCACCTGGAATAGTGCTGGTGTTCAGGTCTGCCAATTCATTTGCCACTCTCACCTGTGGGCTGGGTAAATTTCAGTATTTGTTCTGTAGCCATTGGCTAGTATCTTCCTCATTTTTGTAATTTTCCTGTTCTGTCTACTAAACAGGATTTTATTTCTAAAAATAAAAAAAATTAAAAAGGACAAAATAAAAATAGAAAAATACTTGAATTGGAAAACAGCATCTGCTCATGTGCAGTCTTCTCATGATTTGTTTGATCTCTATCTTTTTTTAATTTATTTTACTGTATGGTTCTTCAAATCCTGCCTGAATTATACAGGGATATATCAGGGGAGCTATACCTTTTGTGATTAAAATAGTTAAACAAGCCAGAAATCCAGAAAAGCAATAATCTATTTAAAATACTCTTTGTCATACACAGGTTTTGCCTCCTCTACAAAGCTGAGCTTTTTCAGATTTTCAAAATTTCACATAACTAGGGATAATTTATGGGTATATAATGATTCATGTTAAATAATTTTACTCCCCTCAGCCATGTTGCTGCAATGCTGTTAGTAGTAGATCAGTTAGGAATGTGCAGTACTGTTGCTTGCTGAATAACTCTGTCCTTTGCTGCAAGTAAAGCTGTCATGGGCAAAAGCCAGTGTGAAGGGACAGAAGTGAATATGAGTTAAATTAATTGTAAAGAAGTAATATCTAGAAGTCCACAAAATTCTGGAACAATTGACAACTTTTTTAATAGGAACATAACTAGGGACCTATCAAAGCTATCTTTTTTTGTTAATTTTAATTTTTTTAATGACTGAGCATAATTTTAATCCACAAACTTGAAGATTCCTTTATTATCTTTGTTAGTAGAATTGGCCTTCCAAAACTCATGCATGGCTGGTAAATCAGTTCATTGAACCCATTTCAGTTCCCTTGAACCCGTTTTCCTACTCCCACAACTGAAAAGTCATGCACTTTTGTCAGTGCTGCCCTGCGATAAAGCATTCCCAATTGGAGGTGCTGGCGGTTCTCAATCCAGCTCCATTCAAGACAGATAATAGAGAAGATAAACCAGGAAAATAAGCATCTCTGAGCAGTCATCCCTGACCCTCATCCTTCAAAACCTTCCCATACAGGGAATGTATTCCACTATCATCTAGTTCCGTCGTTTTGCTGAACACATGGTGACATGCTGCTTACCCTTCTCCTTGGCTTCAAGACTTCTCGATACTTTCCTCATCCTTCATAATGTTGCTAATGAACTTCTGAATGCCGTGTCATCTGTGTGTCACCCAGAAACACATGGCACAGCGTGTACTGGAATTAACTGGAAGTGGGTGTTCATAAATTCAAATAATTCAGAAGATGAGAAGAAAATTATATTTTGACATCCTTGTATATGTAAAAGATTTCTAAAAGCTTTGTCTTCATAAAAAGGTACAGAAAATGAGTCCAAAAGTATCAAGCAAAGCTGGCACTCATGGCACTTGTTACTTTTGAGACCATTTATGCCTTGTCTGTTAAAAGAGAGACAAGATCACTACGAGAGAGTACAAAGCACTGGACTACTGTCTAGCAAGCCTTTGTTTTTGTCTGCTGTGGTTCTGCCACACAGTCACATTTTAATGTGTCCCATGTGTGTGTGCTCAAGGGGATTCTCTTTAGCCTTAATAAGAAACCTTAATTATGCCATTTGCAGGTTCCTTAATTTTGCAAGATTCATAGTATTCTTTTTTTTTTTTTTTTTGGTGGAATGGCATGAGCTCTCTAGTTACTTAGAGAGATGTTTGGTTTGTGTCATAACAGAGCAGAGTGAACTCAAAAGTCAGTATGGATTATGAGGTAGCTAGGGTGACCCTCTCACCCCAGTCCATCTCTCCACTTCAATATTAGACCTATGCAGTACTTTTTGAGACTTGTTGGACAAAGATATTGAACAATGATTATAATGATAGTCTTGGAAATACTAAATACAGCAGCTATATTTTTCATGATCAGAAATAAGAATGTCAGTGCTTTCCATTTGGTAAAGGAAGAAAACAGAGTTTAATTTATTTATTTTTTTCTCCGCTATCACCATCCATAACTTCCATAAAAATCTCTGTTAGCAGACAGAAAATGTTTACCATTTGCTATTATTGTAGTAATTTCTTCACAGTTCCTTAAAATACTTCAGAAAAATAATGAACTGCTCTGAATACCAGCCTTTTCAGACAGGTGTGCAAATCAGCATACTAAATCAGTATTAAACATCTGTGAAAGATATTTTTCCTCGCTTTAACGAAATTGTCATTTTTCTTAATGCATGTAGATAAAACAAACTAAAATGGTAGGAGTGTTTTCTCAGCCCAAACATTCTGTTTGGGATTTCTAGATCATTAGGACTGTGTGCCACAGATGTAGCAGCAGGCATAGCAGGGGGAAACAGGAATGAATTGCTTAATCATCTGAATAATTGTAGATCTCCCCAATTACATTTTAAGTAGGGGGTTTGTGCATTATATTTAAAGATTTTATTACCAATTAAAAAATATATATATATTTCAGAAGAATTCTAGGAAGGAAATTGTTTCCTAACAGACATTAAATATTTTAATTCCCATCATGGGGTTTCAGGGAAAATGACTGCATCTATAGATTCAATGCTTTTTTCTTTCTTTCATGCCTGTCCCATAGATGTGTGCTGAATCACAGAGCCTCCATACTTCTCTAGGACATGTCAGTTTACAGAAGACAAGTTTAAAATTGCTGATAAGAAATTTATATAACTTAGACGCGAATGCAACATTTTTAAAAACATTGTAAACTGTTTCTTTGTAATATTCAAGTAGTCTATGAGCAGGCAGTAGTAACAATCATTTGAAAACAAAAACAAAAACAAAAACAAAAACAAAAACAAACTCCTCATGACTGCTAAAATTTGTTGGTGGATGGTGTTTGGAACCATTCAAGTCTCTGAATTTTCTGTACTTATTCCACATACAATTTTTTTAATCAATTGAGTTACTTGTTATCCTTATGACCTTCAGATGAACCAGTACTTTCTATTAATCTCTGCTTTCCTGCAGAAATATTTTTGTGTTTGTGGAATGTTCAGTTTGGGACAGATACCTCAGTTCCTCCAACCATTCCTATGGGAGAAAACTGCCCCTAACAACTTTCACATCTATGAATGTTCTTGAAAAGTGAGACTACGCAAACCAAAACTCCATTTGTAAACCACCCAGATACTCCACCATGATCTTCCTCTTCAATCCCCTTGTCATACCCCAGAATTAGGATCTGAGCTTCCAGAATTCTCACCACAATTGAATTTCCAAAACCACCAACTGCATGACCAGCATCATTTTTTTACAGATCTTGAAATTGGCAGTGATCTTTGATTTTTTTTTCCCTCCCGTATTATTGGTTGGAAAATTTGAAACATATATTAGGAGTTACTGAAAGCCATCTCACTACTTCAGGAATTAATTATCTGACCATTTTATTAAAGTTAATAGCAAGTGACATCTATATCGGTGGAATCTCTGGACATTAGCTTAGGAGCAGGGTTAGCCTCAGTGCCACATCCTAAACACAAAAAACGAGACAGCAAACATAGACTAAGAACCATGACTGGTATACAGTGCAGTTTTGGTGCATGGGTCAATGTGTAAGGTATTAGTAACGTAATAATTTAAATGGTAAAGCTGTGAAAAGGGAAAATGAGAAAAGTACAACATCTGTTAGCTAGATGAATAGAGAAAAACAAAGTTCATTCCTTTATGCTTTGTCAAAATATGCATAATTAAAATGGAGCACTTCATTTTAGTTCTGTAACATGAAAATATTGTTGCAGCCGTAATTTCACAGTCAGGGTTTGATGGAATTGAAAACACTCCCACTTTTTGTGTAAGCCTATTTGTATTCTCTTTCCAAACTGGCACTGGATCCTCAGAATTCTTAATGCCCTGAGACTAAACTTTAAGAAGAGGACTAGTGCATACATAACCCAAAGGAAGCAGCAGCTGTATAAATATTAGCTCTCTCTTGCAGCACGGGGTACATAAATTGCTCTTCTAACTTTGACAATAAAAACAGAGTTCATTTTACCATGTAATTCATGGGTGACTGCTTTTATCAATACTCAATTGCATTTCCTTATTAGCCAATAGTTCCTCTAATTTGAACAGCATTCTAAAATTTATTTCTTAAAGAAACATTTTACCTTGATCTTAAAGTGTTGCATGGTACCTAATGAGAGATCTTGAAAAGCCACATATATAATTTTCAGGTCTGTTAGCAAGTGTTTGTGTAAGACTGTCTGAAACCTGAGTGTGCCCTGAGCTGTTGCTAATCCCTTTGAGATACTTCCTGGCTTGTTTGTCTGTGCTGATGCAATACTGATCGAGAGGGTGAAATTGTAGAATAAAATCTATATGACCTCAGGCAATTGGTTTGTAGTTTTAAATTGTAGGAATAAACTGTGCCTAGGATTCTAGGTGTGAGAGCTCCAGAATCACTCTTCATATAAAGTGGTGAAACTGCTTAGCCCCTGGGAAGATAGAAGAACTGTTCTTCCCCCTGAATCACAGAGGTGGAAGGAAAGCTAGTCCTCACCCTTTCCCTCCCTGGGCACCAGCCTCCTGCAGTCACCCTCCAGAGCAGTGTTAGGCTCTGTGTCAAGTACTGAAAATGAGCCTTTTGCCTGTGCGGACCCACCATGTCTCAACTGAGATGAAGGTTGGAAATGAATTTCAACAAAGATACTGTTTTATTTTGATCATTAAGTAAAAGTAGGTCTGCCTAGAGTTTGGGTTCTCTAGGGAGATGCTGGCAGATGGGGAGTATCTTCCAGTAGCTCTCTGCTCCAGATGCTGTGGTCCTGCCATATTGCAATGCACAGGAGAAAGTCGTATTGAGTGGCAAATCTGAGCTGTTTTTAATTTGGATGTAGATGTTTCTGTGTCGTTCAACCAGTGTGAAGATAATTTCTGTTATAATAGAGCTGGCAATTAACTCCAGGCATTATTTGCCTGGAATAAATTTGAGGCAGCCTATACAGTTTTTTTCTTTTGTACCTACAGTCGCCCTGATAGATATTACTTCCTTAATTGACATCTTCATGGATACCCATTTTGAGGCCTGAAAGACTTTACTTTTCCCTTTTCTCTCTAGTTTCAAAGGCCACATGATTATTCACCTCCTTTTCGATTTGGAACGGTCCCAAATGGAAGCACAGAGAGGAATATCAGAAACAACTACCCTGATATGCACCTTTACATGACAAAGTATAATCAGAAAGGAGTTGAAGATGCCTTGGTCAGCTTGAAAACTGGGTAAGTTTCTACTATGGGTTTTAAAGAATACTATACACTTTGCAGGAACTGAGAAAAATTGATCTGTACTTACTGTGATACTTACTGAGCAGTGGTCTCATGCATGGCGTGTAGTCCATGGAGTTTTGTTTTGCTTTGTTTTTTAAACTGCTTTGTACTGATATCAGAAAAGAAATTGAGCGCCTGTGATTTGTATGACTGTTTTAAAATTGTATGGAAGCTTCAATGCCCAATGTATGATAGATGCACAGGACAGAATTGCTATTCCAATTTTACGAGAAGGGATACAATTGCATCTGGATTTGGGTGTGGGCTCAACACGGATCATGATTTGTACAGTCCCTGCTTATCATTGGAGGACTCTCTCATAGCAATGTGTTTTCAAAAGGTGCATTTTTGACAAGGCTTGTTTGTCTGGGCAATGTGCACTACCTAAGATTTCTTTTCACCTTCCCATCCTTTTGGCATGCTTTTAGGTGCACTCTTAGATTTTCTTCCCTCTTATAATTATCATGGTCTCTTGCTGTCAGATCTAAAGTCTTGACTTTGATCTTAATAAAATCTGTTGAGATGAGGTATTCTAAAGCGTGTTACCTAATTCTGTTTCTGACAATCTTGGCAAATATTCTGGCAAATTTTATTGTCTTTCTTCCTTATGCTATGCGATTTAGACTTGAGTGCTATCCATCCTTTTCCCTCTCTGAACTGGCTCATTCTGCCTTGTTGGTCAAAATGACAGATTTTTCATTTTAATTGTCAAAAAGTTTGAATGTGACTCACAGTTTTCATCATTATATATCAGCATGATATACATGTATAATGGTTTTAATAATCTTTTATAAACATACAGGCTTGATAATAACATGTATTTCTGTTAATAATAGCGGATTACAGAATTTATCCAGATAAGTGTTTTTTGTTTTGTTTGTCATTTGTTGTTTTTGTTTTATTTATTTATTTATTTTAAGTGAGAAGACTAAATTACCAATAGCGGATTAAGTACATCAGCCCCAGTGGCTGTTTGATGGTACAGTTATTACTTACAATGAGAACAGGATATGTCATCTTATACTAAATTAGCTGTTACTTTTAGTCCGTAGTGTGGGAACTGCCTGTTCTTTAATTTTTGCTCTCCTTCCTCCAGATGTGTAGGGGATTGTAACATATTTCTTCTGTGAAAAAAAATGAACTTCTCCAAACTTTTTCATAGTATCCAGATTCCCTTCCTTAAAAAGTTGTCCTTTGTATAGTTTTGTTCGCCACTGTCTCCATGTACTCCCTGAATTGCCATTTCTAAAGGTGTTCTGAAACGGCATTTCTCAAGTGGGCTTTGTCCCATCCTAAGATAGACATGTAACATAAGGTGAGTTGGACCTCACCCAAGGTCTTCCAAACTCTGGGCAGAATTACTGCTCCTGCCAGCGTGTGCAAGTTGTATTTCCTGGGAGACAGCTAAATTGTGCATTGTAGATACTCAGCTGAATTATTTTCCTGCTGTGAATTTTTGAACAGGTAGCTATCCTTAATTTCAGCCATTTCTAGGGCTTGTTTGGGTGGATAGTTTATTTAGGGGATATATATTCTTTGTACTTTTCATCTGCTATTTGTGCTACTGGAGACCCTGAAAAACTAGTATTAGATTTAAAATAAGGCCAATTGTCAGACACTTTATCATGAAAAGGAGTGAGCTGCCTGGCTGCAAGGGAGTTCAGGACATTCACTAAAACTCAGGCTGGCTGCTCTTGCGCCAGCTCTTCCAGCTGCTCTTCCTTAAATGCTTTAGTCCTTTGACAGCAATAAACCATTCATTTTTAAATAGATGTTTGTTTCCACTGGAGTTTCCTCTTCTAAGTGATTTCCCAGTGTGAATACTCTTAAGTGTCTACCTTGCTCCTCTTGACTGACATTTCTCTAGCAAATGGTACAAATAAGCTGCCATGTGTGGTGTTTTCTGCATCAGTGTAACTGCTACATACTGCTGCACTCCTTAGTATTTTGTCCCATAGCACCTACAAGATTAAGCAGCACGCCATCAGCTGCTGAAATTTCCTATGATACAATTGTCATGTTGAGTTTGCTTAGATCACATTTTTGGACATTCCAGCAGAAAAGTAGTGTCAAATGGGCTTATGCATTTTCTCCCTGTACTTTCTGCCAAGCAAAAACTGTGCAAAGCCCTAATCTCTGTGGTAATTGTGGATAATAAGCTCAGTTACAGATCAGGCAGCATGACTGTATCTTCTTTTTGACTCAGAGTAGTTTCTCTCTAGAAAGATGATCTCATTTAGGTGACCAAACCGATCAGCCTGTGTCATTGTCCCCTGTCACTTTGCACCTTTGTCCCACTCAGCTTCTCCTTTTTGCAAAGACATTTGGTGAGGATGTGAGGCAGTTCCAGTGGCTGACACCTCAGGCATCTGTGAAGCTTAAAGTGTCCTGAACGAAGGAGATGAGCCTATGTAATATGGGACTGTAATAATTTGCATTCTCAGTAGGAAAGACAATAAAAGCATGAACTGGTATTTGTCAGGGTATCACAATTGCCTGCCTCTTCTTTTTGTCCAGTCTTACGTTCTTCAAAAACAGCATTTTTCACTTTTTCTACTTTTTTTTGTTGTTGTTCTCTTCCTCAGTATATATGTTTTCTCATCTGTGGCATCCTTCCCATCATCTTCCTTTCTCCATCATGATTTTTTTTTGACCAGATTGCAGATTATTTTACACTTTCATATGAAGTTTCATCCCTCTCATCCTTCTCTAGAATAGATCAAGCTGTCACCTTCCCTACTTCACTGGAGCCCATGGGTTTGGATCCTTTGTGCCCCCTGGAGTCTATGTTGCTGCTGCTTTTTTGAGAATGACATATCTTTCCTTCCACAATCTTTTTCTGCTTCCCAGCAAATATATAATTTCTACTTTCTTCTTCAGCATGTGTGTGTCCTGATTGCAACTATTTCATTTGTTTTCATCTGTATCTCTTGTCAAAGTTATCCCTAGATTTTTTTTTTCTTCTCATTTCATCATCATCATCATTGGTAGCATACAACAAACAATTTTTCTTACATATCAAGCAGCTTGCTGCTTCTGCACAGCTTTTTGAAGATGAACAACTTGATAATTATAGAGTCATAGACTATAGACCTGGTAAGGACTTGCAAAGATTGGCTGGTGGATATTGCTGTGTCAAAATAAACAGTGCCTGTGTTCCTCATGAAGAATTTTGATATAACCTGTATGTATTTTGAATATCACTTTAAAAACTACTTTTATTTAATTGAAGACATAAGATTTAGTCACATTTGACTCCTCATATACAGTGTTTGATTCCAGTTTTAGGGTGTAGCAAAAATACCAGCAATCAGGCAATACTTAGAGTTTGAATAATACTGCCCATATGGCATCTGAGCTAAATAAAATAAAGCTTTTAAGTGGTTGCTTCTCACAGTTCAGTATAGTTTTGCTATTTCTCAGACTCTTAAGTTTCTAGATTAATTAGTGTTAGTCTCTTGGGAAGTGTTGGAAATACTTTCTTCTTTGAGACCATCATGTTTGATATGTAAGGTCATTTAATTTAACTGGATGGAGAAAGAAGGAAAGAGACACAAGCATAATACTTCAGGTGCACAGATTTCTGTAAGATATATATAAATTTTTTTCAGAGACATGCACGTCTCTATCTGTTTCGGGAAGAAAAAAAAGAAAAAGGTTGTTTTCTTGCCTTTTCACAAGAAGTGAGCACTCAGCTGTCTGAGTCGAGTCACTGATATGGCCAGGAAAATTCCAGGGGCAGAAATATGAATAGGAATGTGTATGAAACGTGTATGGTTTAGGGGTTCGATAGGTTCTGTTGTTGGAGAATTGCAGTACATGCAGAGATGAGCATGTGCACATTATTGTGTCAAGGAAGCCTTGAATAAAATGCCAAGACCCTTCCTGTTTGCATCATTAACAGAGTAAATGCACAGTGTTTCACAATCAGCTTACATGGAAAGCATCATTCTCAGAAAGAATTGACTGGGAAATACTGCAAACTCAAAGGGAAAGATGATCTGTGCTTTAGGCTGACATTGATGTTAAACCTTCTCCTGCAGGTGAAGTTCCTGGTTCATTGCAATGTACCTGTGAAGACTTGTTGCTATCAGTAGTGGAGGCAAATTTATCAGTTGTATTGGCTTTTTTCCTTTGTTTGATAAAAAATCAATCTTTGATTCTGACAACAATAAAAAATACTATCTGTAAAGTCTCAGTAATATCTACCTCTTGTCAATAGGGTCTCAGTCCTGTGAGGCAGAGATACATTTATCAGAAAGCTGCCGAAACATTGTTTCAACAAAACAAAGAATTTTTTGTATTCCCTTTATTAATTAAAACTAGCAATTTCCACCTGTGCCTGTTGACAAGGAACAAAATTAATGTACCTTGTTATTGGAGCACTGCTTAATATTTTTTTCAAAACAGTAAAATAAAAGATTCAACAACATACAGTATTGAAAGTAGTCACAGTTTTACAAGCTTGCCAAAAATGTAGTGGTGTTTTTTTTCCAAACTTCATGCACGTAAGTGGGCAGCTGAACCAGATGTGCTACCTGTAGATCTTCAGATTGCTCTCTAGACAGAAGTTCAGGAATTTTCCTCAGGTTTTTCTTCCTTTTCTTCAATGAAAACCGAAACAGCAGTTATTATCCAGATAGTGAAGAGTGCAAGAGACTATGTTAGCCAATGTCTTCTTCATGGGAGAAGTCCAGCTCTGTTAGAGTCATGGTGGCTTCTTCATCTTCTTCAGATACTTCTTAATAATACAAAGTTCTAAAAATGCACTAGAAGTATTTCTGTCCATGCTGTGTTTAATCAAACTATCCTTCCTGAATCCACTGCACAGGACAGACAACTATCATTTTATTTCTTGAAGAGAAAACAATTCTTTGAATTCATAACCAAGTTGTTTTTACAGTGGCTGTTTGGGTGTGTTTGTTTCCATTTGCCTTGCTGTATTTTTCCAA